TGTACCTGTACCCGCGGGGTTGATGGCACGATTTAGAAGCGTGTGTCTGTGCGCAGCGCTCTGTACCGTGTAACACCTACAGGCAACACGTCGTTTATTTGCGTTGCTGCCTTTTCTGTCCTCTCTCACAGGGGGAGTACGTGCAACACCTGCATCCCCCCACAGAGCCACGGAGCAGGGCGCGCGCACACAGGGTTACACGCGTACACAAGGGGCAGACACACACGTATGTATGCACCCCTCTCTCCGTGCACACCGCAGCACGCGCACCGACTCCTCCCCTCACAGGAACAGACAGGTGACCGCACCGCAGTCCCCCGCCGAACGCCGCCGTAGCGGGTCGGTCCCACTGCGCGGCAGGGGGCGGGGCTTCTCACAGAAGCCAATCAGCACCGAGAGAGGCCCGAGTATGGGGCGGGGCTGGCAAGTGGTAACAGCGGGCCGCGCAGGTGGCCGGGAATGGGCGTGGTCAGAGGGGAGGGCGGGGCTTACGCTGCCCGGGTTCCTGAGGCGGCGTCGGGCGCCCCGAAGAAAAATGGCGGTTTATTTACATTCTGCCCCAGCTCGGCCAATGGGCGGGTGTCAGCTCGCGTGCCTGCCCGGCCGCGCGGTCAGCTGAGGCGGCACCCAAGATGGCGGCGGCGAGAGGTGGAGTTGCTGGGGCGGTGCAGTAGAGCGCAGCGCCAGTGTCGTCTCCCCCCCCATCCCCGCTCTCCTCCTGGCCCTGCCCGGGCCGCGCTGTCGGCGCCGAGAAGCAGCGTGCGGTGGGCGCGGTGCCCCCGCGCTCCCTTACGGCCCGTGCTTCGCCCGTGTCGCCCTGCCCCAGGTCTCCTGCTCGTCCCGGGGAGATGCATTCTTTCGGAAACGAAGAAGCGGTCTCTCTGGAGCGGCTCTTCGAGTTTTTCTGCGAGTGCGTGCGGCGTGGAGACTGGGAGCTTGCGCAGGCCTGTGTGCCCCAGCTGAGCCAGTGGCGCGGGGATGGCCCCGAGAAGGTGGAAGCGATTCTTCAGGCTCTGGTAGCTTGTCCCGCGGGGAGGAGGTGAGCGAGATGCTGTTTTGGCTCGGTGGGCTGGAGTGTGAAATGAGGAGGAGCAGTTAATTTAGGGGTGACCGTGGGAGATGGGTACAATCTGGGATATAGTGCTTGCTTCGGTGCTGAGGTGTCTTGGATGTGTCTAGATGTGCTGTTATCTGCATGTTGACATCACTGCCCAGGCACTTAGCAGGCCACCCAGCCCACTGGGATAATGAGCTGTGTTCATTTATGTAGTTGACGTGGTGATTGATACAACCTTAAAACTATTTGGAAGCATTTCAGAACTGATTTTGTTAGATTTTACTGAAGGATAAGAAGGAGAAGGGACATCTCCTGAAATTACGTTCCCTTGACACTGAGCTTTGGTTAATTTAGAAGTGGAACCGCCAAGATCAGCGCTGTAGTTATTTAAAATGTTCTGTTGTTTCCAGCTCTTGAAAGACCTTACAATTTCCAAAAATGTAAACTCTAAAAAATTGAGATTACACTATTGATTTCTTATTTCTCTCGCACTGGATTTTGAAATGGCATTGCTTTTACTCAATCCTAGTCCGTTTTGATCTATGCTTTTCAGACAGGTGCAGATGAAGGGTGACTTCTAGCACTTCAGGGAATGTTGGTATTCCTCCTCCGCAAGCAGATGACCATACTACTTCACATTAAAATTTGTGTAACATTTTGGTAAAGGTTCTGAGAAACAGTTTACACTGACAGCAGTTAAAGGAGTCTGGAGGAAGATGTGGACATGGTTGGATGAATATTGCTAACAGCTATGTGAGACAGAAGCATTTTTGATCTTTTTGATAGTTGGGTTATCGCATCTAAAGGCTTTAGTTAGCAGTGCCGAGATGTTTAAAGGCCAATAAACTATCATGTGCTTTTTCCTTTTGCTAGTCTCTTTGACAGTCCTGAATACGTTCCCTGACATATGTTTGGTTTTGGAATGTGTGTGTAAGTACTGGAGCACATGAAAAGCTGATGGAAATTAGAAGTATTCTCTGTTTAATTAGTACATCACTTCTAGTTTGGACATAGAGCTGCACTTGTGCTGCTGTGACCTAAAACTTAGTTTCATTTTTTTGGGGGTAGAACTAGACATAGCAGGAAATAGCAGTGTTTGGCAAGAGGTCAGATTTTAAAGAAATCTGCTGAAGTGCTCAAAGAGGGCGATACAGAATGAACTTTAGACCAGAAATAAATTTCATTGTTTTGAAGCAAAGAACTATGGCCGTAGTGTTGGTATTTGGCAGATCTAAAAGCAGTTATTTGCACAGCAGAAATCCTGGAGTTAATGTGTAAGTAGTACCAATATTCTGGTTTCTCTGCATTCTCTTCCTGTCTGACTCATCTTCAGCTATTTAGTCCTCGTTGGTTTTATCTTACACAAAGAGATAAAAATCAGAATTACCTCTGAGGGTGTTTTCTTCAGTCTTAGAGATGGGAACAACCTTGTATAATCCAGTGTATGTGCTTATTGCTTTTGTAGATGGGGACAGAATTCCAGCCCTTGGAAAACTGCATGGCTTTGGCTTCTTGTGTTGGAAAAATGGCTTGCCAGGAATCAGGTACAGAAGCATCTAGCTGACTTCTAGGTGCAACTTATAGCTCTGACTTCTAGCTGACTTCCAAGTGCAAAGTGTCTGCCCAGTTGCTTATTTAAATCATAGATGTTCCCACATTTCATGGAATTAAGTTCTCAAGGTAGCCGGAGAGGTGCGTTGCTTTTAACACACTTGTCAAGAAAAAAAACTGTTAGTCTTCTCCACACTGCAGAGAAGAATTGGGATTTCTTTTTTGTTTAGGTAACAGAAGTTGGCTTTTTAGCATTGAGTGTTTCTGTAAATGGAAACCATGAATTTATCAGCTTCTGCATTTGTATAGCACCTTTCTTACATTAAAGATGAAACAGCTCAGGTATCGGACAATTCTTCCTAAGCTTTAGATGGTGAGGGATGTGCTTGCTGTATTGGTCTTTTCAGACAGACAGGTGCAATATGTTCCATGAGTAAAGGGGAAACTAGTCTTTTTTCCTTTTTTTTTTCTTTTTGTCAGTACACTGGCAAAATTTTTTAAAATTCATTTGTTCTTGTCACTACTTAGACTTACTTTTTTTTACCTTCTGAGGAAAGCTGTCTCTAATTGATGGGATTATAATACCTGATAGTGACATTTGTCTCTGTTTCCAAATGTATAGATAAATGGAATCCACTGCTGCGGGAGCAGAACCTAATTGTGGTATAGCCTTTAATTGAGATTTAGGTATCTTCAGAGAGATATTTCAGTCTGCCTCAAAATGTTAATGAAATAGCTAAGATTAGGTTTATATGATAATGTAAATAAGTTATAAGTTTTACTGGCTAACTTCCCATTCTCTTGTATTGTTTCAGAAAACTGTTCCAGTTGTTCTTCAGAGAGAAACTGAATTTTTATTGTTCTTGGAAGAACTACAGAAAGATGTCTCTGAGGAAGTCCTAAAGGTGAGCTACTTAGAATGCCCTACTTGTTAGTCATGCAGAATGTCCAACTTTATCAAGTTTTGGGGTCAAAGTTAATGCTTCTTGCTAACTTGACTGCCTGAGATGCTAATGCATTATTAATCTTCTAGGCAACTGAAAAAGTGAATGTAATTCAGATCTGTTTCTGAAGTTAATCCAGTGTGCCTGAAAGTGATTTCTCTATCTAGAGAGGAGGCTGTAGGCAGGCAAGGAACAAGCTTTTCTACATGGTCTTCCTAACACACTTCAGTCCTGACTGCAGCTGCTTGCCACAGTCTTACATCTATAGACATCTTTAGTAATCATAAAGCTAAAATCCACTGTGAGCCAAAATAAACCATAGTCTGCAAGCACATTTTAAAAGTATGTCTCTTTTCTTTTTCTTCCTCCTCAGATCTTAATTTTCATCTCCTCTGCACCCCTTTGCCCCCTTCCTGGAAGTTTTTGGGTGCTGTAGTGTTTCTACTGACATGATTTGGTAATTGGTATGATGTGTGGTCTGAGGTCCAGGACACGTTTTTCCATTATTAATTAATACATGCAGACTGATTTATTTGAGAAATACATGGACATAAGCGAAGATGGATTAGTATCAAAAGCAAGTATAGAGCATACAATCAGAAGAGTTACTAACTGTAGAACTGTCCTAATTCAGTGGTGGTTACAACCGAATTAGACCTGACATGGTGTGTGGAATGTCCTCAGGTGTTGTTTCTAGTTCTATAGGTTCTAACTCTTAACAGATTTTTTTCTGTTTGCCTTTTTTTAAGAGGAACTTGAAAACTTAATGTATTCAGAGGCTATTTGCAGCTTTTAAATATGAATAAGGAGAAGGTGTTCAATATTTCTCTAAGGCTACAGAATTAGCAATTACAGGATGAAAGTAAGCAGTGTAAACTTGACTAAAAGAAGTTGCTTAAAATAAATCTGCTTGAAGTCTGTTAATGACTAATGGAGTCTCCGTATGTTACCATCTAACCTCCAAGGTCATGAAAGATTCCACCATTGTCTGCAGCGTTGCACAGAAAAAGGAATTTCAGCAGCCTGATATTTTTTCCACAATTACTGTCAGAGGCATGTTACTAGGTAGAGTCATGTTTTGATCTAGCAAATAAAGAAAAGGGTGTTGCGGACTTGTCTTCTAATATGCTTATTTCTGTGCACACCAACCACTCTCCCCTGCATATTCCCTGAGCTGTCCCTTCCAGCCAAGCAGAGCACTCAGAGTTCCAGAAGGGCTGCAAGTGCTGCTTAACTGATATTAACTGGGTTGTCCCTTACTTTCCTACCCATTACTGGGAGAGCTAATTGGGATTTTGTTTGTTTGTTTTCCCCTTCCTAGTTCTGGAATTGTAGGTTTGCTTCTGTTAGCAAGAAAAATTATTGTTACTTAAGAAAGAAGTCTGTGAAGTGGCTGCTGAATCTGTTGGCCCATTTTGA